AATTAGATTTTTTACTTCCGTAGACCTGCATTAGTCTCTTTTTAGGAAACTTAAAAATAAGTTACCTAAAATACCCCTGCATTAGTCGTAATATATTTCCCCTTTCATTCCCAACGAGCTAACCGCCTAGTACATCGTCCATGGAAAGGAAACAAAATTCTTCGCTCGATCTTCTTCAAGCTTGGCTCAGGAGTTCCGTTTTCTACTTCTCGTGAATAATTTGAACTCAATCTCCACCAATTCCGACTCGAAATCTTCAGTCTGATTGGAGTTAGCCGCAGACTTCAGATTGAGCTTGATCACATTTTGTGGATTGTTTCTTCTGCATTTTTCTCTACAATACTTCAAAATTATGTCTATGTGCTATCACTTTTGTATATTGAACTTGGAGATTGATTTTACGTGACCTGCTCTGTTATTGAGCTATTATCAGGACTTATTGTCTATTTAATGATTACTTACTGTTTATGTATTGTCTGCTATTGAACTATTATTAGAATTTATTGTCTGTTTACAGACTATTTAATGTCTATATATTGTCTAGTGTTTGCAAGTTTGATTTTGGATCTGATTTCTTCAAAAGTTTTACAGAGTACCTGATGGCCTTGTGAAAATATGAAATGGAAGTTCGAAATTGGCAAAATCAGAATTTAAATTGACATTTTCAGATTGCAAAAACTTAAAAAAAAATCTTTTTTCAAAACAAATAAACTGAAATGAATGAAAAAATTAGATCTAAAACCTTGAGATAACCAATCATTGAAGTCTCTCCTTTTTTTAATCCAAGAAATTCGGATCCAAAACAGCCATTTTTATTTTCAATCTCAAAATTGAACAAATAAAATCAACAAAAAAGTTCAAAAGAGCTCAGAGATGGAGAAAACAGAGTACTAGGACAAGGAGAATGAGGATATGAGGAGTAGAAAGAAGATGAAAAAGAAGAAGTAGAGGAAGAAGAGGAAAAAGAAGAACATGAACACTTACATGTGAATCGTCTTCAGCTGGTGGCTAATTTGGGGAGAAAATTGAAACCCATACTCCATGAGAGAAGAAGATACGGAAGCAGAGAGTGGGGATTGGAGGAGGGAGAAGAAATACGATAGGTAAGGGAGCTGTGAAAATAAAGGCCGTGCAGGCAGAAGAAAAGCCGGTCAAGGGTATTATGGTCAAAATAGGCATTGTTTAGTCCTACGCTTACTTTCAGTCCTAGTTTTAGAAAGTTATTATGATTAAGTCTTATTTGTATAAATCTCCCTTTTTCAGATAAAGATGAGTCTATTGTCTTATTTCGGCCTGCTGAGCGTCGTGGAACTGTCTGTCATGCCTTAATTGCGGATAAACTTGGGCTTGCCTATTTTAGACGCTTGTAATTTTATTCTGCTTTGCTTTTCTTTTCTTTTTTATTATGGGTCAGGTTTTTTATGCCCCCATACTTATTTGTAATTTTCTCCTTCCATTTTTTTTAATTCTTGATTTATTTTGAGGATGTATGCCTCCTCTGAAGGGGTTTTGGTCTAGTCCCCGCTTCCTTTGGTATTCATTCTCTAATACTCGTATTAATAAAACTCTGGTAAATGTTCCCCATCATTTACCCCACTGATTTTGGTGGTTTATCTACCGGATAACCGGATTTAAAAAACGTTGAATAAATAATAGTAAGATAACCTAAAAAGGTAAAATATAAGTGTTTTTTAAACACAAGTATTACGTCTTTTCCTTAAAACGAAGTAAATATTATGATCTTCAAATCATATTGCCATGCTATGACATTATCAAGCATTTTTAAAATGTAAGATGAAAATATTACAATAACATAATTTCTTATAATATTATTAAATAAAATATAAAATTCTAGGTTTTGTCGAACTTTATTAATGCACAACATTTTTAACTTATTTGTTTGGCCTTTCAAAAAAAACTTACTACCTCTGTCCCAAAAAGATTGGTTATTTTGACTTTTCTTGGTCAATGGTGTTAAAGTTTAGACAATGACTTTAGATATTATATTTATGTGTAATTTATAAATTTTATACTTTTATGAAAGATTTTATAATAAAGAATATGCTAATATAGTTTTTATATTTTAAATAATTTTGTATTAAAAGATATCGTTGGTCAAACTCGATCTGTCACCATTGACCAAGAAAAGTCAAATTAGTCAATCCTTTTGGGACGGAGGGAATATTTGTTTGGGAGTATAGTACATTATATAACTAAATACAAAACAAAGGAGAATGACTAAATTGTTATTCATCGCGAAATATATGCATGCTCCAAATAGGGTTCACAAAATTGAATCAAATTAGACCAGCAGTCCAAATCGGAAAAGGACCAACTACATACTGGTTCAATCTTTGAACCAAAATTTCTATTAGTTATGGTTCAAATGATTGGATTAGAACTAAAGTATTACTCCCTCCGTAACATTCATATCTTCCCACTTTCCTTTTTTGGATGTAACATTCATATCTTCCCATTTCTAAATCTTCTCATCATACCCTCAATAATTTTAAAAATAATTCATTATTACACATACTTTTTTTGGATTTATCCTTCATTCCATCACATTATTTCACTATCTTCCCATCATATCCTCAATAATTTATATCCTCTTTCACTATTCTTAATCTACCTACTTTTCAAATGGGAACATATATATGTTTTGAGTATATTTGTTATATTTATACGGAGTATATTTTTATCTTATATATGTAAACATGAGATTGTATTGTTACTTTGCTGACACAGTCTAGTATCATGAATTTTGCTTTCTGTACACGCTGGAGTGTATACACGTCAAATTTTTGTTTGTGTCAGAGATAAAATATTTTTGTTTGTGACATAGATAAATTGGCTTTTTATAGACGAATAGACAAAAAAAACCTAGCGTGTACACAGGGCTAGTTAGCCTGCTTTTTCAATAGACAAATAGACGACAAAAACCTATCGTGTACATAGGGCATGTAGTAGCCTGCTTGTACAAACAACAATTTCACTAGGGTGACAACTCCGGTACCTTTCTAAAATATGAGATACCGTACCTATCATTCATTTGATTGGACCACATCACTTTATCATTTTTAATTTAAATTTAAATAATTCAACAGCTACATTCTTATTGGTCCATGTGGACAAAGGTATGGTACCTTATGGGTACCATAGAATTTACCTTTCACTAGTATCATATACTAGTAAGTAGTAACAACCAACCTTCTTGAATATAATTCTTGACTTCTAAGTTTGTGTAGGCTGCCTTTGTATTCCCTATATATTGTTATCATTGCCATTCGGGTTCATTGTAATCGTTCATAATGGGAACACCATGGTCTTATAATGTACATGCATGCGTTCTGTGTTAAAAAAATAAAAAAAATAAAAAAGTACTAGTAACAACCAACCCTTAATAGAAAAAAAGGAAGTTTTATTGGTATAAATTTTAATGGTGTAAAATTCTAAGAAAACATATGTTATAAATACTACCCACACTTTTATTTAATTTGAGTAAGAAAAATAGTTCACATTATTAAATTCAAAATCAATGGCTCAAATATTAAATTACATTTCTCCACCTTATATATTGCAGAAATTGTCCTAAATAGGACTAAAAAGTTCCTAAAAAGCACAAATAGGACTACTATTTTTAAAATTTCCTAAATAAGACTAAACATTGATTTTCTACCCTAAATACCCCTAAGAGTATTAATTCATAATGAAATGCTTTAATTCATAATAAAATCACAAAAAACATAAAAAAATATTTAAAAAACGTAAAAAAATTAAAAAAAATTATAAAACATTTATAAAATAAAAAAATTATTTTTTATTTTTTTAATTTTTTTAAAAAAATAATAAAAAATAGTAAAAACCCATAAAAAATGAAAAAAATTATGGATACCTTTCTCACCGCCTCCCGCCGCCTCCCAGCACCACCACCTCCGATTGGTGAAATTTCTTCCACTTTTGGTACAAAAATGCCATATTTTTCTGAAAATGCCAAAAAGATGGCATAATTACTCTTCAATATGCCAACATTTTCATTGATTATGCCATCATTATGGCATTATTAAAAATGTTGGCATATTTTTGTCCGGTGATGGGAGATGGTGGTGTTGGGGGTGGCAGGGGTGGTAATGTGTTTTTTTTTTAATTTTATGATTTTTTTATTTATTTTTTATTTTTTTTTAAAAATTTTTTTTTATTATTTTTTTTAAAAAATATTTTTATTAATTTTCTATTATTTTTTTACGATTTTTAGTATTTTTTTTATTTTTATTAATTTTTTTATGATTTTATTATTAATTAAAACATTTCACAAGTTACAAGGGTATATTTGTCCAAACACACATAAATAGTCCTATTAAGGGAATTTAAAAAATGTTGTCCTATTTATGCAATTTTTCCACTTTTTAGTCCTATTTAGGGAATTCACTCTATATATTGTGCACAATATACGCAATACCTTAAATGTATGACTGGGGGTTATTCTGATAAAATTATAGAGATATCTTTTCTTTAGTTTCCAAAACTTAATGTGGGTGTGAGGTCCCACTATAGTGGATACTTGAGAACTTATGGAATTTATAAAATGACAAATTTATTCTTTATCAATAATGTTAAACAATGACCATGTGTTAATGTGATTATTCTTAACGAAGCGATGTGATGGTAATAAATTATATAACTATGAATCTCGAATATTGTTTAGGGAAAATGGAAACTAATAATCCAACCTTTTAGCGGTCTTCTTACAGTCATCCAACCTTTTGGTTATACATGAATAATCCAACCTTTACACCTCATCTTCATTCACTGGTCCCTGACCGGTTGATGACCTGCTATTCCAAGCTATTTTCTTATCTTTGCAAATCATTATACCATAAATTTCATCTTTCACAAAGATAATACTGTATAATGCACCTAAGATCATGCATGGGTCATGCAGGCCTCAATTACGATTAATTTGCTAGTTGAAGAAATTTTAAAATCTTGTGAGGGAATTGCGGAAAACGCGCATTCAAAAAGATATCTGAAGATGGAAAGAGAGAGCGATCACGCAGGGAGAAAGCTAAATTGCCTAGGATCGAAATGAGCGGAAGCAAGGGCCAATTTAGCGATGGAGAAACAGCCGGGGCGGTGAAGAAGAAAGGGAAGGGAAAACCAAGCCGGACGTCTATGATATTGTGGCATGCCCACCAGAATGACGCGGCGGCGGTACGGAAACTTCTCGAAGAAGACAGAACGCTGGTCCAGGCCAGAGATTACGACCACCGCACTCCGCTCCACGTTGCTTCCCTCCATGGCTGGACCGACGTCGCCCACTGCTTGATCGACTATGGTGCCGACGTCAATGCTCAGGATCGTTGGAAGAATACTGTACGCTTTCTCGCTCTTACATTTTGTATTATTACATTTTGCATAACAAATTTCAAGGAAGGAAATCAACAGCTAGTTAATTATGCCATACATACACGTTCATCATGGTATTTGTATTTCACGTGTTTGTCAAAATTACAAGTGATTATCAATCGTCATTTACTCCAGTGCCGCAAAGGCACCTACGATGGGTAAGGAGGGCCGGGTGTATGCAGTCTTACCCATGTACCAAAGCTCAGAGAGACTGTTTCCGGATGACCCATAATGAAAATCGCGTCCAAAATTGCATGGACCGACCAGTGGCGGATCCAGGAAACGAAAGTATTGGGGGCAGAGCAAAGAAAAAAATAGCTATATTAAGAAAAAAAACTAAATGTACTTAAATAAGTATACCTCAATAGTAATTTTTTTTAACAAAGTACTTGAAATTTCAAAGCTAAATAAAGTATATTACAAAATTTAAAAAAAAAAACTTAAAAAGTGAATCACAATTACTCCCTTCAAGATTTTCATCCCTTAAATCAATTACTCCATTAGGATAATATTTAGGCTTTTTCTTCTTTTTGTGGGGCCCAATAGAAGCTCAACCACTTTAATTTCTTCAGTAATTTAAATAGCACATTGAGAAGTACTATTACACACATTTGAAATTCTGAACTTGAACTTCCCCGTGTTGATCCATTAGTGATTTTTACAAAAATCTATCCATAAAATTTGATATAAAAAAACATGTAATTATTTTTTTGGCAACTAATGTACTCTTTTGTATCTTTATATATCAAGTTAATAGGAACTTTCCAAAATATGTCCTACTAATTCTAACAGCTTAGTAGAAGTACACAATAACACTTCAACACATACAAATAATACAATAAGTCAATAATTAATATATAGTCAAATACTCAAATTAATCATTCAAATAGATAAAACGTAGTATTTAATAGGATTTGGGATGAAGTCTGGGTAATTTTTTAGGACTGACTGGACTACGGGAGTTGGGACTTGGGTCAATTTGATGGGGGCATTTTATTTTTTTGATGGGGGCAATAGTGTGTGCTAAATTTTTTCCTATAATATAATATATGGATCTATTGGGAGTTTATTGGGGGCAGCTGCCCCCTATTGACGGTGTGTATCAGACCGACTGCTTCTTCATAACAAAGAAGAGTAGACATTTCGGTGAACCATTTTGCTTTATTCCGTCATATATTCTCAAGTCAAGAAATAATGAATCTTCGGCTCTCCATTACAAGTGAGGTATATCACGCAATAAATTGCTTGAAAGGGAATGAACCCCTAATTTTGACGATTGACCGACGAATATGAGGTGAAATGAAAGAACGATGACGATGATAAAGGATCATGACAATGCTTCAGTTAATTTTTGTGTTTCCTATATATTTACTCTTTTAATGTTCATATAATCATCTTTATCTTAATCGAGACATAAATTTACCTTGTACTAGTTCAATAAACAATTTCTAATTTCTAACAATAATCAACCCTCTAAATATATACTTCTAATATCTTGTATATACCTGAATGGTGTTCTTCATAACAGCCTCTGGCTGACGCTGAAGGGTCAAGAAAGCTTCGCATGATTGAGTTATTGAAGTGTTATGGCGGTCTATCATATGTAAGTTGAACTTATTTCTTTGGCTTGTTTCAAGAAGAGAACTCCAATAATATTTCTATGAGTTATTGATATGACTAGTCTATCCAAATGGACCAATAGATGTAAGCTTGCAATTGGTTTCTTCCTCTCTTTATTTTATTATTATTCTTGTTATGTTCTAAGTTTTGGCGGTAATACTTCAGGGGCAAAATGGAAGTCATTCTGAACCAAGATCTGTTCCACCACCTCTACCAAACAAATGTGATTGGGAGGTTGATCCTTCTGAGTTGGACTTCTCAAACTCTGTTATTATTGGGAAGGTGAAAATGCTTGTTTGAACTATAAAGCTAATTAATAACAAATACTTCGTATATATCCAACTTGTAAGGTTTGGTGCCTCAAAGTATCATGTTATATACAAATTATCTGCATTACCCCCGTGGTCTAGAAATGCACCGTGTATTGTAACTAATCATTCACATAACATCCTAAAGTACCGACTTTCATAGTCTGTAATCATGTGTATGTAAATATAGAAATTATCCTAAATAGGACATTCATGTTTTTATTCCCTAAATAGGAGTAATTTCTATCAAGATTGGCATTACCAGACATTAAACATGACAATTTTTTCCAAACTTGGCATAAATTACTCTTATTTAGGAAATAAAAACATGACAGTCCTATTTTAGAATTTCAAAACGTTTTTACAAATGCTTATATTAAAATGCTTAAAATATACAAAAGTACTAGACATTGCTGTTTTATTCGACAATGTATTAGGGACATGATTAATAATAACACAAAAGGTTTTAATGCATCTTTTGAATCATAAGAGGTTAATAATAACACAAAAGGTTTAACGCATTAAACACAGCTTATGAGTAATTTTTTATTCTTCATGATAGTTGCCAAAGTTGTATCTTATAGCAGTATATATTTTATTGTGTATGCAAACAAACAGGGGTCATTCGGCGAGATACTTAAAGCCTATTGGCGTGGAACTCCGGTTGCTGTAAAACGAATTCTTCCAAACCTCTCGGATGACCGTTTGGTGATGTAAGATGCTTTTATGAGAGTCACAAGCTAAGATTCCCTTCCAATCGTCATAGAATGAAGTAGCAACCCTTCTTGAGTTATATAGTGACGTAAATCTATTTCAGACATGTTTCTTCATTTACAAAAATGTAATTTGGTTTGCATGTTTAGAATGTCTTATCTCTTATGGATTAGAATATTTCTGGTGTATTTGTAGTCTAAATTTGTTGTCTAAAAATAAAAGGTGGTCTTGCCCTAATCTTTTTAGACTCATTTGATTTTGAATGTTTTCGGTGCTAGTTCAAAAAAATCAAAATAAGTATCAATTTTAAATCAAAATAAGTCATCCATAATGTTTTCTTTTAATTCAGTCAGGATTTCAGGCATGAGGTAAATTTGTTGGTCAAACTTCGTCACCCAAATGTGGTTCAATTTCTTGGAGCTGTTACTGACCAAAAGCCTTTGATGTTGATTACAGAGTATTTAAGAGGGGTAATTAACTATATCTTTCCATTCTCTGTTGTATATAACATTTTTACATTTCCTCCCATCAATTTATATATTTCTTATGTTAACTGAAGTATATATATGTTGGAACAGGGTGATCTTCATCAGCACCTCAAAGAGAAAGGTGCTCTTAGCCCATCTACAGCTGTCAACTTTGCAATGGACATAGCTAGGTATAGTAGTTGTTATTCAATTAGTATTTTTGCATCCTCTTTGTTAATTCTAACCACTATGTTCTAAACATAATAATTGGTATAATTATTTGCGCAGAGGCATGACTTATCTTCATAACGAGCCTAATGTTATTATTCACAGAGACCTAAAGCCAAGGCAAGTTAAGTCTTTCCAATTTACTTAAGTTGAGAGGTGATGCTAAAATAGCCATTCCAATAATTATAATTTTGGGTGTGGATATTCTCTTAGGAATGTTCTTCTAGTTAATTCAAGTGCGGAACATCTAAAAGTAGGAGACTTTGGATTAAGCAAGCTCATCCGTGTTCAAAATTCACACGATGTGTACAAAATGACAGGCGAAACTGGAAGCTGTAAGTATGTTTTCTTTTGTATCTCTTTCGGGTAGGTTGTTTCATGATTGATTGCACTTGTGGATTCTTTAGTTTTCTATACCTCTTTCTATAGATCGGTACATGGCTCCTGAAGTTTTCAAGCACAAGAAATATGATAAGAAGGTGGACGTTTTCTCATTTGCTATGATACTATATGAGGTACTTTTGTTTTTTCAAAAAGTCAAGATTGAACAGAAAGGGATGAGACAAAAAAAACTCATAAAGTGAATGATGTGTGATGAACTAGTGCAGATGCTAGAAGGTGATGCACCAATGTCCAACTGTGAAGCATACGAAGCAGCTAAATATGTAGCAGATGGACACCGACCCACTTTCCGAGCAAAAGGATTTATACCTGAACTAAAAGAGTGAGTTACATTGTTGTGCACTTTCAATGGATTTTTAAAAACAATGATCTCTTACTTTGTTTTTGGGGAAAATTTGTAGACTAGTTGATCAATGTTGGGCAGGAGATATGAATCAAAGGCCTTCTTTCTTAGAGATCATGAAGAGGCTAGAGAAAATAATGGAAATTCTACCTCCAGACAATCATTGGAACATTTTTACTTCATAATACAACCAAGCCAAGGTTTCCCACCCCATAGCTAGATTCAATACTTTATGTTATATATATATATATAGTATATTTAAACCAAAGTAAAACTTGTTTGGAGAGAACCAACACAAAAAATATATAGTTAATTTATTATTGCATAGGACATGTTTCTTTTCATTTATTGTATTGATCAAAAGTTGATCAAAACATTCTATATTGTTGCGTTGGAGGATACAATCATAAGAAGTTGTTATGTCGCAGTTGATCTATTAATAATTTAATATGGAGAAAGTAAAGAGGAGCAAGGAATTACCTGGTCAGCCGCGTTAAAATGTAGGAGTATTTAATCACTAAAACCCATCAGCTACGTTCTAAGTATTTGGGAAAACTCCATCAGTCAAAGATAAATTCATGAAATAGGCCGTTTAATTATTAATACGGAGTAGAAACTAAGTTCTCTCTTTAGTTTTCTTCCTCGGATCATCTCCCTTACATTATATATATGTTGTCAGGGAGAGGAGGAAGAAACAAGGAATTAATAAATGAAAAGAAGTAAATATAATATTAATTACTATTTAAATCAATGTTACACATTTTACTTTACGTTGGTTTCAATTCTATCCATCAGTATTATATTGGATTAGGAAACTGTCATTTTTCACCCATAATAACCGTGAATAACATTTTTTTTATTTCTACATGACGTTAAAAACTGTTTTATGTTCGTTAGATATTTCATTTATAATTATTTTGACAGCCTTTTGATTTTTTATTTTTACATGTACTATAATAGATTAAAAACTTGCCAAAAAAAACTGTTACATGTACATAGTACTTAGTACTTGCTTTTGACAACTGCGAGGTAATTATTTAAGATGGTTTGTTGTACATTGGTAAATTGATTTGCAAGACTACATAATAGAGGTAAGGGAGAGATTGGTACTCGAAGTTGCAAAAAATGGTCAAATAAGTCCTTATATAGGAGACTCTGTCCAACCATCGCCATTTGAGGCGGTTCCCGATGAAAGTTTTTGACGAAATTTTTTGAGCATCTTATTCATTAAGTCTATTTTACTCATACCAAATTTCAGCTAAAACTTCAAACGGAAAGGCATTCACATGAATTCTTGAAGACAACTGCGCAGTTATCTTCAAGAATTCATTTGAATGCCTTCCCGGTTGAATTTTTAGCTAAAATTCGGTATGCGTAAACTAGACTTAATGAATAAGATGCTCAAAAAAATTCATCAAAAAAATCCACCGGGAACCATCCCAAATGGCGACGTCCAGACAGTAAGGACTTATTTGACCATTTTTATGCAACTTCGAGTACCAATATGACATTTACCTCCTACATAATATCCATTTAGTTCATTGAAGTTTTGCTAATTATTCCGTAGAATTTAGATTTAATATTACAAGTTGCCGAGGATAAAAGTGTTGGCCTGTTGGGTCACTACGTTATGAGGTTTATAAAGTGGTGGAAATTACCGGAATAAACCACTTTTACTACTCACATACTCCCTCCGTCCCAGGGAGAAGTTCTCGGGTTGACTTTCACACATATTAAGGAAATAAAGTTACTGAGGGGTAAATTTTACTGTTTGGCACTGTTTCGACACTGTTTGGCACTGTTTCGACACTGTTTGGCACTGTTTCGACACTGTTTTGCACTGTTTGGCACTGTTTTTATGTAGGATAACTTTCCATTTAAGGAAATGGGAACTTTTTGTTGGGACTGCCAAAAAAGGAAATTGGGAACTTTCTCCCTGGGACTGAGGTAGTATCATTTATGTCGCACCGTTTTTCTTCTTTCATTAATAAACTTTCACAATTTCATATATGTATTTTTAATCTTTCTTATTTCACAAATAGCCTAATCTTAAATCGTACGGAGTATATCTAAATTCCGATCTCCATTTTCTTCGTCGTCTTCTCACCTTCACTTCCGCAAGAGAGCGGATGACGACTTCCCGATTTCTTCTCAGGGGAGGGGGATTCCGTGGACCGGACTAGGAATCGTCGAGAGCCGTGTTCGGATTCCTTATCCCAGCATCGTCTGGCAGCTAGGTGATCAATCTGATGGCCTTCAGGCTGGGAATAGAGTGAAGGCGTGCATCCTCTATGTGTTTCCGATGCAGATCCGAGAAGGGATCTTCCTCCGACGTGCAGGCGAGCGCTTTGCGTCGCCGCCTCGATATTGAGCCCTTCATTCTAATTTTGAATGAATAAATTCATAAGGTATTTTGATTTTTTTAATTTCCACTCTTTTGTAAATTCTCACAGACATGCACTCATTGATACTGTTTTGAAGTAATTTGTATTCCTATGAAGCTTTATAGCTGGATTGCTTGAATATAAACTTGTTTCGTAGGTTTTGATTTGGCAGAGATTCTATTAAGATGTTTTTAAAAGTATTTACAATGTCAGTATCAATAGGTTCTGAAACTAATTTTCACTCTTGATGCATCAGTGCATACTATAGGAGTTCATTAAGGATCTATTTAAAATTATATTAAGTTGATAAAGGATATGACAAAACCGCTCTGACTTGTTCTTGTTCATATGTTTAGGTGTCGTAGCAGAGATCAATTTGTTTTCTCTTATTATAGGAGTCCATTAAGGATCTCTTTTGAGTCCATTTATAGTTCGTTCTAGGCATGATTGAAGTTACAAGCCGAATTAAAGATGAAGAAACTTGATGCATCAGTGCATACTATTTCCCATTGATATTATTCTCTTAGATAAATCATGAGAACCTGTAAACAATGTGTTTTTTATAGATCACTTTAACATCTTGGGCCAATAACCTAACTAGCTAAATAAGTCTATGAAGTTTACTGAATGTATGTTCAGCAAAACTTATCTGTATATATAGTACTAGAGTAAAGCTAAGAAAAATTGTAAGTAATAAACTGCCAAAGAATAATGCTCTTTCACTCCACTCGTATTTTACTCCATGTTTTTTCAGTGCTCACAATCGCCGTTTCCCTCATTTGATTTACTGTGTTTTGAATGAGTTTTTCTTCACATTATATGGGGCTGAGTTTGTGTTATTCTCGTTTTGTTAGTTGTTGCAATGCTGGATTATGCTTGTTATGTATTTATGTATAGATCTGTCAATTGAAACTTCACTCGGGGTGATTTATTTTATATATCAACGTCCACATTTTCTATTTTAGAAATTGAGCGTTTGTTTGCATTTTTGTGGTCAATTTCAATTCAAAGTATCAGGATATGGGAATGGCTTGAGGACTTTTCTCAAGGTGACGACACCAAAATAGATATACCAATGCAATCTATTTGTAACAGAACTTTGAGAAAAAAAAACAAAGTAACATTGCCTTCTATTTGCAGTTGGAAAGATTTGAAAAATGAAAACTCTATCTCGTTCTGAAGGATCACATTTTAACCCCAGATTTCGAAGCTTCTCAGAGTGAACTCGAACAACTACATATGTGCTGAAATTCAAGGATATTCCTCCACTCCCCAGTAATGAGTATAGTATATGCATTTGGAAAATAGCAAGCTTGAGACTTCTATCTCTGGAAACTGATCGAATTGATCTTAATTCGAGGGATTTAGTGAGGATGTGCTGAAATATTCTGCAAGTTTGCTTATAAGAAGTACTATATATGTTATAGGTTATTTAATTTGTAAATGTATATTAGAAAACGATCTTGTTTGTACACTATTATATATTGTATAATGATAATTGTAATTCTAATCATGAATTTGAAAAGGCAAATGTAAATGTGTGTATTTTACGTTGTTTTTTCCTTTGTGTTTCTCTTTGTTTTGTGGTGTTGCTTTTTGTTGCACCTTGTTGCATCTTGCATCTTGTTGCTTTTTGTTGATATTGATCAATGCTTGATTTTAATTATTTTTCTTAATTTTTGTATTCACATTTCCAGTTATTTTTTCTATTTTGGTGCAAATACACTCTATACATGTGTGTAGTGACAAAATTGCATATAATAAAAACACAAGAAAGATAAAACAATAAGAAACAAAATTTGAAAATTCATCAACAAAAATAAACAAAAGGAAACAAAAAGTAATCATATAAAAAATAATGCAACAAAAGGAATAAACCAAAAATCTATATAGTTGTATATATAAAAACAATAATGATAATTTTTTATTTATGAATATAAACAACTAGAAACATAAAAAAAACAATAAGAAAAAAAAATTTCATAGTTATAAACAAAAAGAAAAATATGAAACAAAATTAACAATAAAATAATAATCATAATTATAAAAATATTAAGTTCTTTAAGAAACATTACATTACAAAATTCGTATATTTTTAAAATTTTCTAATTTTTAATTATGTTTGAAGTTCATTATTTTAGCTTCTTACATTTTTATTTACTGAGTTTTTGAATATTACACTCTTTAGGTTACATTAATTATCTGTTTTTTATATTGTTTTGAATATTTTAACTTTTAATTATTTATAAAATTAATTTGGTTCATTTCATGGTTTTAAAATTTATATATTTGTATTATTTTTACTCTTCGAATGTGCATATTTTTCAATTTTTGTATAAATATAATCACTCCTTCGCAAAAGTTTGTATTTACTTTTGATATTGTTTAATAGCTTCAAACCATTTTGTAACTTTTTAAAACTTTTATATTTTTGACAATTTAAACTATTTTAAACGTTTTTCATTTTTATTTTCAAGTTTTGTGTTCCTAATTTACTGTAAGCTTAACTTACGATTTTAATTTATTTTATAAATATCAAATTCATCTAATATTAATATCTAACTTGCGATTTTTCAATTTTTCAACTTTTATTATGTTTTTTTATTTTATATTTCTACTCTGAATTTTTAATAATTATTTACTATTTTGACTTTTTTTTTCTATTTTTTTATTTTATATTTCTACTTTGAGTTTTTAATAATTATTTGCTATTCGGACTTTTATTTACTATTTTGACTTTTATCTAACTTACAATTTTTAAATTTTCCAACTTTTATATGTTTTTTTTATTTTATATTTCTACTCGGAGTTTTCATATTTTTCTATTAATTATCACTTTTTGGGTTTTCCATGAATTCTTACACTTTTCTATTTAAAAACAAAAATGGAGCAATGGTGATCTCGGTACACACTTCATGAAGTTTGTACTTCGTATGTATTAATTTATCCGTATGAGTAGCGATCATGCACTTGTGAAGAATGGTACAAAGAATCAAGTGGGCGGGTGCTTTATAGACCGTATAAGTCTATTAGTGAAATACAAGTATC